CCCAAGAGCCAGGGCTAGCCTGGCCTCAGGAGTGGGTGGCTCTGCATCTCGGTCGCACCAGTAATGAGAGGCGATAGGATCAGGAAGTGAGAGAGCTTGGTGAGCAGGGAGGGGAAGTACACAGAGACACTGGTTTTGAAAAATGGCTAAGGTGAACCTTAACCCTATTGTGGGAGTACGTTAGCTCCATTTTACTGAGCTTCAGAGGTGTTGCACTGTAAAGATAGAATCTATGCGGGGTTTGCTTAAATGAGTTAATGAGAAAAGCCCTTAGATTAGTGCCTGGCACATACTGAGGGCTGTGTATGTGTTGTTGTCACTGTGACTTGTACCATTTAGTTAAATCAATTACCTAACACACTTACAGTAACCTACCTGATCAGACACTGGAAATATAAAGATAAATAAGAGTTGTTTCTCCTCTTGAGCTTGCAGGATAGTTGGAGAAAGACAGACAGACACACACAAGTGCTTTGGTTTTAATACATTACAGGGATGTTATCACCAAATTTTGTGTGTGTTAAATATCCCTGTGTGGGGTGCATCCTGTGGCACGTCGGTGGAGTGAACCTCACTAACCCAGACTGTAGTGGCCAGAAAGTGCTTCTCAGGATGAGTGATATCAAAGTCAACACTTACAGATGCGCCGTAACCGGTTTGGCACATTACAAGGTCATCTTTTAATGGAAAATTAAAAGATAAAGAGGCAGTTACATTCTAATCAGTGGATAGAGCGGTGGCCTGCGGACTGAAGGGTCCCAGGTTCGATTCCAGTCAAGGGCATGTACCTTGGTTGGAGTGTGCAAGAAGCAGCTGATTGATGTTTCTCTCTCATCGATGTTTCTAACTCTCTATCCCTCTTCCTTCCTCTCTGTAAAAAATTCAATAAAATATATTTAAAATAAAAAAAGACTTACAGATGCGTAGACTTGGGGGGCGGGAGTGGAGGTAGAAGAGATGGTGTACACTTTAAGGAGGGATTTTGCATGTCTGCAGTATACAGCATACAGAGTTTGGGGGTGTGGGAAAAGTAGAAAATAAAGTTAATGTTGCCAGTTGCAAAAATCGCACAGGGCCTTGTATGTTAATGCTGAGACTCTCTGTCTCATATATATGGGGTTGGACTTGAAGCAGACAAATGGACAAATGATCGAGTCAGATTTGCAGTAGGTGGTCACTCTGTTGATGCCTGGAGGATGGGCTCGGTGATGTGCTGGTGGCAGTGCCATGTCACTGAACTAGGGCAGGTGGGAGGCAGAGCAGGTTCAGGAGAGGAGTGAGGGCAGACATGATTTCTCGGGGGCTGAGGCCATTCAGGCCCAGGGTGAGAAAGTGTTCCCTGCACCCGCCTGGTCTTTTTTGGGCTAAGCCCGTGAGTAGCCATCACCGCAGCTGTTGTAGGTGTATCAAGGGTGTTTGCGCCGGGCAGCTCAGTGTCCTCATCGGTATTGTAGTGTCCATTTAAGGGACATTCCTTTTTAATAACTGTCTTTTCTCCCCAATTGGAAAAGCTGCCCTCTTTGTGCATTCCAGCTTTCCAATTTATAATTTGGAAGAGGACAGTCTGTAGGGCTAGGTTTGGGCTTTGACATTATACAAGAGTAGCTTTGAACCTTACAGATTTCGATAACTATGCCTGTGAATGTGGAGTGTGTGTCCTTTCCCCAGGAGTCTGACAGTGGGAAGCCCTGCCCAGGGACGGGGTGGGGAGGCGGCTGTAACAGTCGAGGTGGGAAGTGAGGTGTGTCTGAACTAAAGCACTGGCTGTGGGCATGAGAAGCGTGGCCTTTGGGATTGCCTGCCTGTGTGTCCCTTCAGCTGGCATCGAGCAGTGTTGATAAAGGACTTCCTTCTCTTCATGTTGCTTGGATGAAGCGATCACAGTGAAGTGGGGTCCTGTCCGTAAGTCTCTGCAGTGGAGTCGGCCCAAGTGGGTCTGAGCCAGAGCCAGGCCAGTGTTCCCAGACTTCCCAGAATTCGTTCCCAGCTGCTAGTGTTCCAGATGTGTGGGTGTGGCCATGTGTGCCAGACACTGCCAAGGTTTTCATCCGTTATCGCATTTAAACTTGATAACACATCTTGGAGGAAGATGTAAGTTCTAACCTCATTTTATAGATGAGGAAACTGAGGGTGAGGAAAATTAAGGGAGGGTCCCAGACAGACAGGTTACAAATGACAGAGCTGCAATGTGAATGAAGGCCTGTGCCTTACCACCGCTCTGCATTAACCACATTTGTTAAGAGAAAAATTCTGACTTCGCCTTTTTGGAGGGGAGAGGGGGGCAAAATAGTCGTTATATAACACTTAGTTGAAAATCCAAATTAGTTTATTGCAAAACAGTAGCAAAGTCCATTTAATTTAACTTCATCTTGTCCTTGATTGTAATGTCCTTGGGTAGACACCGAAGATTCTGTAGCTTTTTTGACTTTGTAGCCTGTTTTTGATTTGTATATTGGTGTCATGAGGAGACAGTGGGCAAATGCTTAGCTGTCTCTGAGCAACATTAATAGTGCAAGGTCTAATGAGTTTAGAAATCTTTCAGTAATCAGATCTGGGATGAGTGTTTGCCTTGTCTACAGGCTTTTTGTCTAAGCATTTGGAGAGGTCCTGCCCGACTTTGAGCAGTCTTGGAGGTTTCACATAGCTCGTTCTTGGGAAAGGCAGATGGAAAATCATTAGCCCGTCTCTCCTGCAGCAAAGTGATATTTCATCAAACCTGGGCTCTGGTGGGCTTCAGGACGGTAAGCCTTTTACTCCTATAGGATAGTTCCCACAGGGTGCAGTAACCCCGCTAAACCAAACTGTGTACTTTGCTCTGGTGTAGAGAGGTCACCGTGGAAAGCACTCGCTGCCAACTTACTTGACCTGGCAGTGGTTCAGCTCTGTGACAGGTCTACCTCTGATTTAAACAAATTTGAGAAATATGTAAAGTTTTGGAAGCAGTTTTGCACTGATTTGATAAAAGAAACCACAAAACACTGCAGCGCAGGTGTTGAGAATGTTTGAAAGCTGATTGAGGGAAGCAGATGGCTTTAGTCAGTGGCATCCAGCCAAAAGAGCAGGTGCTGGTCATGTGACCGCTGGTTACCAGGGTAATCTGATTGCTCTTGGCGTGCAGATGAAAGGGAAGGGGCCCAGCGTTCAGCTGTAGTATTGTATAATTTGTGGCAGTTAGAGCGGAAATAAATGCTGGAAATGGAGCCTCATAGTGGGGGAGACTTCTGTCCATGTGTAGCGTAAACACTAGGACAGTTGGATGAGGAACTGTTGTATGGATTTTTTTTTTAATTTAAAAAATATTATTCTTTCTGTGGATCTTTTGGGGACTTCAAGTTTTTAGGACACTGCCTTTTTCTTTCTTTCTTTTTTTTTTTTTTAAAATAAAAAGCACTCTAAACTTAACTGCCATTTACTATAATCTTGACTTGTAAGTTATTTCTTTATGTGGCTGTTTACTATGCTAAAGTGTTAAAACAAAACAAAAGCTCTGAGTACTTAAAAATAACTAGTTTAAATTTTTCAAAGATTTTATTCATTACAAAAGTACATTTTGTATGATGGGTACTCTATTACATTAACAAGTACTTTCAAAATATTTTATGTGACACATGCTTTACCTAAATAACAGTGTACTGATGTTTTGGCCGCTTTTCCTTTTGTAGTAGGTGAGACTGAAAAATGCTGTTTAATGCATTCTGTCTGCATACTTATTTGGGAATTTACAAACTTCAGTAAATAAACTTTTTAAAAGTTTAAAAATATTCTCAGTTTGTAAATTTTATCAGAATTTTAGGTTTTCTAGAAAGAATAAAATATAATCATTACTGAGGTTGGATTATTTTAAATGTTGGATAACAAATAATAATTGAGATTAGAAAATCTTGGGGGCGGTTTGGAAATTGGAATGTAAGGTAACACTAGGTGTATGTTTTAAAAGAAAGTCAAAAAGTTCCTAAAGGTGGTGGTAAATGTAAATTAAAAATATTTTGTTAGAGTTTATTCATGACTTTTGAGTTATGTGATATTCAAATCACATTAATATTTTATAGAAACATACTATGGAACATGCACTTTAATTATTGGGGTCGTTTTGCTATATTTTTGTATTTCAGAGACCTAGCTTTTTTTTAAAAAAGGCTATTGTGACTACCTCACAAGATTCCTAGCACCAAAATAAAGCTTATTTTTAATTAAGAGCACAGCATTAATTAAAATTATGTAGAAAAGGAAATTGCTATATATTTTGTTTTATTTTAAAGAGTTGTAAATTGGATAAAAATGGAGTTGGATGATATAAAAGAGGACACCTAATAGTACTTGTCAAAAAGAACTTAAATAGGAGTGTTTTTATTACTATCTGCAAGAGACACAGAAATGATCATTTTATTTTTCCTTGACAATTTTAAAAAACATATTCTGTATCTTCAATACTCCACAGCGAAGCTACCTCATATCTGAGTTTTCATTATGGCGTGGTGCAATGGCAGGGATTTTTGCATTGTCTATCAGTGGTTCTCAACCTTCCTAATGCCGTGCCCCTTTAATACAGTTCCTCATGTTGTGTGACCCCCAATTTCATTGTTACAAATTGAACATAATTAAAGCATAGTGATTAATCACAAAAACAATATGTAATTATATATGTGTTTTCCGATGGTCTTAGGTGACCCCTGTGAAAGGGTCGTTCGACCCCCAAAGGGGTCGCGACCCACAGGTTGAGAACCGCTGGTCTAGGTGAACAAATGTACTCTGTGTGGTTTTTAGGGGTTCTTGCATGCCGTTTCTTTTTAATTAGGTTAGATATTTATTAAAGGTCATCAACGTGGGGGTTTGCCATAAAGAACTTAATTGAGAGTACCATTGAACTACATGGCCAACATGCACTGATTCACCAATTGTCATTGATACTTTAGGGATATGAATGTGGGGAATATAGGGCATGGGGCATGTGGAAAACGTCATTAAAAAGTGAACACTAAGTGATCCACTTTGAATTCTAGTAATAAGAAACCTGATTCAGAAGCAAGTGCTTTGAAGAAAAAGGTCAACAAGGGAAAAACAGAAGGTTCTGAAAATTCAGACTTAGACAAAACGCCCCCACCGTCTCCTGAAGAAGAGGAGGACCCAGGTGTTCAGGTAATGCCCTTATTCTGTCCCGGGCCTGGGTGACTTCGCATGGGAAACTCTAGCCGCCTGTCAAGTACACTAGTCCTCCCCTGTCTTTGTTATAGAGCTGCTTTAAAGATGGCTTTATTGTTGTCTGGAACATTATATCCGTAGTGAGGCGAGCTGGGGGCCAGTGTGAAATTAAACTCCTGACTTTTTGCTCTTGCCATCTTTGACTCTGGGATAAATAAAACCGAGAATCTTCACTTATTTCTGTCAATGCATCTTGATGTTTATGTGAATATTGGTGTTAACATAATGGATATGTTGGTTCATGTAAAGCTTCATTCACATTTCTGATTTTCCTGAAGTCTGGTTGCTTGTCAGTTCTCTTACTTTGCCTAAAAAAAACCCAGCCAAGATATAATCTGTAGCTTGTCTTAAGGTTTCTGATATCCCATGGTGAGAGTTGAGATATATTCCTGTAATACTCCAGTTTCCGTGAACATGTTAGTGACTTTTGGATGGCAATGCCGCACCATGTTTCAGTGTTAGATTCTCCTGACTTTTAAAGAGTTTCATAGGAATCAGCTGAAAAACTGGTCCTGAAATAGACATTAGGAATTCAGGTTCCTGTGTGTAAAGCACACAGCCGTCACTGTCACTGATTGGACTGTAAGGTGAGGGACCCTTACACATGATCGTTAAACATTATTTCCTTGTTATGTTCCCTGGAAGCGTGCCAGTGTGGTCCACTGGGATGGCTGGGAATGTAACCTCTGGGACTGACATCTAAGTTATCATGGAGCTGTTACCAAGGAGTCCCGCTAGACGAGGAAGCCAGCCCCTAGAAGCTTGCTTGATTTTTTTCTAATCGTTCAGTGCACTAAGTACTTTCTGCCCACATCTCTGCCAATTCACTTAAAGGTTAGAAACAAAATATTTGCAGTATACAGCTCTGTTCTAAAGAATTTCAGATAGCTTGCTTTCTTTTTAGTAGAACTCCCCGATAATATCTGTAACTGCACAGAATGGCCTAATCTTAGGCCTGAAAGGGAGAGAAGAGAGTGTGTGTGGATGAGTGTGTTTTGTTTTGGTTTAGTTTTATAACTAACATAGCGATACCTCTGGCAGTTGGGTTAATTTTGTAATTCACTTTGATTTTACATGGCAGTGACAAGTTATTGGGAAGGTAAGTAGATATCTTTTTTAATTGCTTAGGGAGTTTTAAACTAAAGTATTTTAATGATTTTGAATTTCATTTTTATGCTCAATGGTGTTCCCCCCCCCCCCCCCCCCTGAATTGTGTTTGCTTAAACTAGGCCCTTTATTACAGTAGTATTTGGGCAATATTAAGAGGCTTTATTTACACAAATCAAGAAATTCTGTTTTGTTTTTTTTTTCACAAACACTGCTGCCGTTTTTCAGAAGTCTATTTGTTTTAATACAGTTTCAAATGGACTTCATGAAATACTAGTTTTGAGGTATTTTTTCTTCTGCATTTTAGTTATAGAAAAATGATAATCAATTCAAGTGAACATCAATGCATCCTTTCTAATTGGCTAAAGCTTAACTGTCGTGGGTTCAGTAGCCAATACAAGCAGCCACACGTAGCTCAGGTGCAGAAGGCAGGCCTTTCTTGGTGTCTTTGACACAGGAAGTGATGCTGACTGCTGTGTATTGTGTTTCTTCCTGTAGCACATGCATAAAGGACTAAAGTTCTTGAGTTTTGTGATTGGTTTATTTAAACTTTAGCAAATGCCATATAATTTTAATGAACTCAAAATTGTATCAGAAAGTTACTGCAACAGTGAGATCATGGAAATACATTTAAATTTTCTCTTCAGTACACCTGTTTTAACTACAAATGGCTTTTCTAAAGCAATCCAAGTTTGACAAGTTGACCTATGATTTTAGGGCCAATTCAGAAGCCTTGCGTTATGGTTTAAACGTAATTCGTACATTTCATTTTGAGAGCTTGTTTGGAGGTTCTAGCAGGGGAGCGCAGCTACTCGTATACCCTTGACCGAAGACCGGTCCTCCTCGGGGGGGGGAAGGTCGTCCTCTTCGACCGAGCGCGCAGCTTCGGGAGGGACGCACATGGATCGGTGAGGGAGGAGGGGGACACCCGCCTAGCCAGCCAGATCAGCCGAATCAACCCTGGCGATCAATGGGGTGACAGATGTCGCAGCCAGTTTAAACGTAATTCGTACATTTCATTTTGACTCACAAAAATATTTCAAATAGTAATGTTAACAGACCATACTAACGCACATTATATAATAAATAATTTTATTTTATATTGGGAAATTGTAAAAGGAACTTTTATGCCCAAAATAAATGAACTTAAGATCAATTATTATTTAGAAAGTGGAGAAGCCATAAAACACTTAAAAATTTCAGAAGATTGAGTTCTAATTGTATTTTGTTTGTTTTTTACTATTATTAAGTGACCTTGTATCCATTACTAAGCCCATCATTATTTCATAGATTAATAACATAAGCTTGATATGAAGAGACACTTTCATTATAAAAGTTATACCGACCGATATATAAATGTCTATTTAAAAAGAAAAAATTGCCCTGAGTTATTGTACTGGCACATTTATTTACTATCAGAGTGGTATTTAGTGTAAACCACAGACTTATTTATGGGTGTTTAGTTACTTATGCTGGAAGAATACTCTGACAGTGTGGCCCCAACCATGGAAACCTGATAAAACATCATAGATACATCATTAGTAATACATTACTCCTATTGTAATGACATAAAGATGAAAATATAGATTAATCCATTTCAATTTAGTTTAATTGATATAAATGGAATATAGACATTATGCTAAATATCACAAAATTAAAATATTATTCCTGATAATAGCCTTTTATATCTTAAACTGACAGTCTTCTTGAGAAGTGAGGGATGGTAATGTGGGCATGAGCAGGAGTTAGTCTAGGTCAACTTTGGGAAGAGAGAAAGGAAGCTATTCAAAGCATCTAGGGCTAGGCCTTGTAGTAGCCTTATTGAACTCTGATTTTTCTTTGGAAAGGTGGGGGTAATTAATGATGACTTTAATTCTACTAATTGAATTTGGCATTACTATGTACCATGCACTGTTCTAAATGCTTGAAATGAGTTCCCTTATGTGATCTTCATAGTCTACTCATGAGGTAATGACTATCATTAACCCATTCTACAGACCAGGAAACTAAGGTCCACAGCATAACTCACCTAACTCCACCAAGTGAGAGTCTGGGCTCATTTAAACATGGGCACTTAGCTACAGAGCCTACCAGGTCAAATTGCACCCCCCCCCCCCCCCCCGCCATCTCCCCCGGATGTGAGTAAGGTTGGCAGATGGCAGAACCCCTGCTGGTTTCTGCCCCACTTTGACCTGGAATTGGTTGTTCTGGGCAGGGCTGACTAGGGAAGGTCAGAGGAGGAACTCCCTCTGGTCTAAGCCACTGGGAAGTCTGTTAATAAGATTTACTCCAAATACCTGTGTCAGAAAGGTGCTTTATATCTGTGGAAGGCTAAGAGTTCACAGTCTCAAACAGCCCATTTGATGGTCATAGTACACTGAGTTTGTATTTTGAGCTGCTCTCCCTTTTGAGAGCAGAGAGCAGGATCTTAATTAAAACCAGTCCTCTTTGAGCAAGAGGCTGGGTTTGTTGGTCCTGACATGAGCCATAAGGCACTGTGTCTGACCCCTTTGGGTCAACATAGTGGGTAATTTGCCTTGGCCTATCTGTCCAACTTTAAAATCCACAAGGCTCTTTAAAAGGTTTTATTTCATAATTTTTAGAAAAATGTTTGTGTGACCTCTCTTAATATTTTTATTTCTTCTATGTGCTTTGCAAACTCATTGTAATATTGCATTTATCAGAGATTTAAAATGTCATTTTAGCGTTGTCTTAGATTTTATCCCAATACATTGATGAAAAGGTTATTTTCTCCCCATTTTTAATTAACTGACAAAAGTAATTATTTTATCAGAAAGGTTAAACAATTATTCTGAACAAAATGTGCAAAACCATTTTCCTTCTGCCATTTACTTCCCTCCCCAGAATTAATAGTAATTAACAATTTGCTATGTGTTTTTTCACATTTTTTGTTATTGCAAACATGCATATTATACATTCATTTTTTAGCAAATATTTATTGAGTCATAAAGTAAACAAGACATACAGTGTCTTCGAGGAGTTTACCTACAGGAGTGGGCAGAAATAGGTTTATAGTATTGTGAGCATACAAAAACAGCTTATTCTTGTATTATTTATTAATTATAGTATTTGTCTTCTTATTATTGTTATTTTGTGTCCTTGCTTATGATTTATATATTTAGGTAATGATGGCTGATAATTTAAACCTACTTTTGCCCACCCTGGTATTGAAGATCCACACATAGAAATACACACACATGGTTTTTTGTTATCTTAAATAGAATTATTTGCTACTGATTATGAGACTTGCTTTTCTTTTTATTTCACAATTTCTCTTGCAGATATTCTTAAGATATGTTATGTTATGTAGCTTACTAGAAGTGCAGTTGCTGGGCCAGAGGGTGGGCAATTTTTAAATGTGCACAGATAGGACAACACTGTCTTGCAAAGATATTTTGACCACTGTGGTAAGAGAGGACCCATTTTGCTAACAATCCTACTAATACTAGCTATTACCAATCTCTTACATTTTAATCAGTGTGGTAAAAATATTTTTTTAAATAAAATTACTTTTCATAGTCATTCATTATAGATTCTGATGTTCTGTCCTTTATCTCTTCAAAGGTTTCATACTGTTTCTTTTAGGACAAGATTAAGATGCAAGCCTTCTATTTAAAGGTCCTCTTAAATATTATTGGTTCCTTGGATAAGAGTATACTAGTGTTTATCTATAATCTTACAATAGGAAAATAATGTAGATTATCTTCCAGTGCCTTCACTTTTATGGACTTTTTATTATGGGTAAAATTGTAAATGTACAAAAGTTGAGAGAAAAGTATAATGAACCCGTATATATCCATCACCAGCCTCAAAATTGCCTTCACTTTTGAGTGGTACACTGGCCTAATTGGGGAATAAGATTTGTTGGTATCTCCATTTCCTAGTTGAAGGTCAGGTAGCTGGGGGAGTGGCAAAGCCACAGCTGACCCAGGTGGCTGACTTCAGATCTCCTCACCCTCGCCCTCTATTTCCATGATAATCATTGCCACTATGGTCTCTTAGGGGATTTACAGGGTTAAGGCTATTTTTTCTTTAAGATTAATTTTTTAAAATACCCACCTCACCATCCTGAGAAGTTATAACGTGCATCAGTGATGGATTTTAAACTCCCTTTGTTGGGTTTGTGTTTTAGAAGAGACGGTCCAGCAGGCAGGTGAAGAGGAAGCGCTACACTGAAGACTTGGAGTTCAAGATTTCTGATGAGGAGGCAGATGATGCAGATGCTGCTGGGAGAGAATCCCCCTCGAACACCTCGCAGTCAGAGCAGCAGGTTAGCCTCCAGATTTGTGTGGTTCTCGCTGCAGTTGGCGCGATGGACTGGGAATGTTGTAGCCGGAACCTGAAAAGTTTAGCAAAGCAATGGAGTTGAAGCTGGAGAGCATTCATCTAATGTTGGTTACCATGCTATGGGACACGAGCTGTTTAGCAGCATCTTTTAAAACGCCTTGTTCGCCAAATGTACTTTTATACAAGCCTGTGATGTGTGATTTGACACAATTTTGGAGAATGAATGGTCTGTGTTGAGGAAGAGTCGGAACTAGGATGCATGGAAGCTGAATTTACTTCTGAAAATTCAATGCTGTAGCTTCTGGGACTTTAATAAACCACTCAAGCTTGTCTCCTGCTGTTAGGCACCATAGGAGCCCCTTTATGAAATTACTGCCTTGTAGTACCCAGCAGGGCATACTTTATTCTCTGTGCAATGTAAATGACATATAAAATAGTTTGTATAAAATATGGGTAGTAACTTAGGATTGATTATGGTAAAGATCTTTTAAAAAATATATAGATTATATAATAATGCCCTTTTCTTACCATTATTGTTCTTTAGTTAACCACTGGCAACCCATTGTAAAACATATTAAATGGAGTTTTGCATTTTATTTGGTAATCTGTGCTATGTTAGATTGTTATGTAACGTTTCATGTGACCTCCATGGATAAAAGCCGCCTACAATAGTCACAGAATGATGAGTATATTTACCCCGTGGGTTTAGATGAAGAAAGTTGTGTTTTTGACGGCTCTCATGCAGAGATGGTTTTCTTCTGGCAGCTGGAGTTTCTGAATGCTCTCTGGCTTCAGGGATCCGTGCTAGACCACGTAATTAAACTATATAATCACGAAGCAATACACACGGATCTTCCTTTTGCCTTTGTGCAGAGTGAGATTTTTGTTCTTTTCAATCATATTTTTCCCTACTGTGACTTTGTACCCAGTGTTTTAAAGGGTAGGAATTTAAAGGGCATAGAGGTAGATGCTAAAAGGGAATGGTTTCTTGCTTTTACAGCTTATCATGAAATGTTTTCCATCTGGATGGATTCATTCTCCTTTCTTTTTTAGGAATCTGTTGATGCAGAAGGTCCATTGGTAGAAAAAATCATGAGTAGTCGTTCCGTGAAAAAACAGGTGAGCACCGTTTGCAGTGATCAAAAATGATGGTGTATGTGTGACCCTTAAATTATTTTTTGCTTTATAGTTTTCTTTAGAGATTTTACTATTGGGAAATAAAACTTCAGGTGACAATGCTAATGCTGTCTGATGTATAGCCCAATATAAATCTTTGGGATATTCAGCCCCAAATTAAGGTATATCAACCAACCAGTGCTTTATTACACCATTTAGAGTAGGCAAGAAACTCAAAAGTCTCAAACAAATGTATAGGACTTTCAGGGTTAAAGGCTGCTTTTTTCATAAATATTATTCATAAAAATAGTAAATATGAATTGATCTCTCATTTCCCTTAAGAAGAAGGTTCCTTGCCCTTCCCTAGCTCCCCATCCCCCATGGAAGTTTATCATTTTAGGGAATAGGTGTTTTCTCATACAATTAAAATATTAATATCTTTTTCTCAGTGCAAAGGTGAAATACAGAGCTATTTTCAGTGTAATTTTTGAAGATCTCACTTATTCTTTAAAATTATTTAAAAATTCATGCTGATCTGCAAAGGTGAGCTCTAAGTACCTGTCATTAGTCTGATGACTTTGTCACTGAGGGACACGTACGTGGTGACAAAGAATTTCAGTAACACTGTTTTCTTTTACTATTGAGATTCCTGATTTCATCCCAACCATCTCTCTTCTTGCCCAGTTTGAGAAAATGCTTTCTGTAGTTTGAAGAATGGCATAGGCACCCAGGTGCATTTACATATTCCAGCATACAATTTTTGGTGCCTCTAGAAAGTGGTTTTCTTTAGATATAGGTGTCAGTCTTTCAGCTTGAGTCATTGTCAAATGCACAGGTCTTTCTTTTTATTTGCTTTCAAGGTGGGTAGAAACAACGTCATTGTTTTGAAATGTAAAATAAGTTGTTGAGTGTGTTTTTGAAGTAAAATATATACAAAGTGTAACTTCACATCTAGAGAACTAGGTAAAGGGAAGATTATGGGACTTAAAGTGAGATCCCAGGCTTATCAAATAGGAAACCTTTACTATTCAATACTATCTAGATCAGGGGTGGGGAACATCTGGCCTGCTGGCCATATGAGGCCTGAGAAATCACTCCGTCTGGCCCTGCCAAGGCATTAAGTGTGAGTTAATTAAATGTTTGACCACATATAGTAGGCTCATTTTTAAGTTGATAATTCTGTATGGCCCACGAATGATGTTATAAATATCCAAATGACCCTTGGCAGAAGAAAGTTTCCCCACCCCCGGTAGACTGAAAATGGCATGGCACCACAAGTAAACTTCTCTTTACCTTATTGCAATACTGTTTGCTTTTTCTATTATTCAAATTAGAATTGAGTGTAGAGGGTATGGAGGGGTGTATGGAGTGGCTGTCTGGTGACTCTGAACATGAGGATTTCCTCTCTGATGAATTAAATCTCAACCAAATTTCCCACCTGTTCAAGCAGAAATGAGTACTGTTTAACTCATTAGAAAGGTTGTGTTTTTTTGGTCCTACTAATGACTCTAGAACTGTTAATTTGTGAATTGTGGATATATGGTAAAATTTAAATACTTGACATGCTTTAAAGAATAATCCCCTTCACTGAATTGAAGTGACTTGTTTGAGTAAATAGCTTGTGGTTTGGACGGGGTATATTAATTTTCATTCATTTAGAAGTGCTTCAGCAGGCATACTCAGCAGGTTTGGGGGTTGAAATGATAATTAGCTCTATTATCCAGAGCTATTTAGACTATGCATTATGTAGGACATTGCTTTTTTACTTCTATTTTGCCCACTTGAGGGCTTTATTTTTTTTTTTTTACTTTAAAAAGATAGGTACCCACATTTTAGAAATAGGTATTACCATTTATACAGATGACCAGGTTTATCTTATCACAGGAATTTAAAATTACTATAATCTATATGAGGGTGGAGTGTTTGTTGAGAGTTTTAGGATGGAGAATATTAATGGCAACATTTCTCTGGAGGGGGAGATAGGCCTTGAGGTATGATTGAAGTAAGAGGAGTTGTGGAGCTCATCGAAGTGCTTGTAGATTACCAGTATTTCATAAAGGACAACAAAAAAACCATTGGAAGGTTGTCCACATTAGCAGGTACTAACTTTTTAAACTGCTAATGTTCTCGAAATAGCTATGTTAGTTATCAGTTTTACTACATTGGAGGGAAGTATGGCACATAGAAACAAAAGGAAATTTGAGATTTTCCCGTGGATGCTAGCTGTGCCTGCTGGTCTGTTTCCTATTACCATGAATAATTGAAGAAGTAGCTCTGAGAAGGTAGGTGCCTTTATCTCCCCCTGGCAGCACTATAGAAACTGGCCATGAGCTCTCAGAGCCGACCCTGCACAGTGCTGACACATAGTGGGGATGCAGTTGATGGTTTTCAGAGTTAGTCGATGTCACCACTGTAGCCTAAAGAATGATCTGTTACGATGGAGATTCACAGAGGTCCCCTATTTAATAGCATCTCCTTTTAAGTAGGGGCAGCTGAAGAGGCACTTGTGTTTTTCTAAGCCCAAATGAATATGGGTGAGACCCAGTGCAAGGCATAGAGTTGACCCGTGTACTTGAATTTTGAGGTAGATTTAAGAATGGGCTTTTGGATGGCATAAGGTTAATTCTTTTGTTTTCCACGTTTAGTCATCATGTAGCCCTTTCTGCTTTGAGGAAAACTCAAATCCTTTTTGTATCAGAAGGTCTGAATTGTTTTAAAAGTTAACTCTGACTGTATTCCTTAAAATTCTTTATCTTTCTCTACACCATATATTTTCTTTTGAAGGGCTTATTTTAAATCCCAAGGTGTTTGTTTTAATCCTCATTAGCTAACCTCAGGAACAAAAAATAGAGTATAAGGAAGGCCGAAGTCTTCATCCCATTTGTTCCTAAGTCCTTTTATCCTCAAGTGAGCCTACGATATGGCATCTCTCATAGAGTATGTGGTGGGTTGGCCCAGAGGTAGGAAAGGTTCGTACCTTTGCCGTATTGATACTTTAAGGTACATTCTCATTCTTTTGTGCATTCAGAGAATTTTGTTCTTTTTTATACTCAAGTGAAGCTTTGTTTCTGCAGTGACTGCCTAATTTACTAAGAAAATGCTTAGGAAAAGGCCATTCATTCTTTCAGGCTCTACAGGGTCATTTGCTGGATGGTTGGTGTAGATTCCAGGTGATGGAGGAGTCGCTTCGTTGCCTGATCAAAGTTCATGTGAACAGTGAGGCAAGAATGGCTTAATATGTTTGGAACTTAATTATTATATGAATAATAAGAATTTCAATAGATTCGTTTTGGAGTCTAATGAAAAACATATACTCATTTCTCAAATTATTCTGTTGAACACATAAAATTACTTTAGAGGCCTGTCAAATTTAATGGTAGCCATCCAAGGAATAAAGTTGAGTGAAATTTTTGTGTGTGCAGAAATAGTGTCTTGACTCAGTTTTTTATTATATATGCCTGCTATGAAATGACTTCTGAAAATTAAGGCATTGGGGGTAGTAGGGGTTGGAGCTGTTTTCAACTATCACCAGAGGCTGGTCAAACTGACCACCATTTAGAATAATTAAAATAATGCTCCTGAGGGCTTATGAATTTTCACTCTGGTTAATTGTTTTGCTATTAGTAATGTAGAAGCAATCAGCATGATAATATTTATGTGAAATAAATGTTACAAAAACAGTTCTATCTATAGTTCTAGGGGCAAGGAGGTGATTCAGTGTGTGGTCAGTTAGAGCACAGGCTTATAATTTGGGACATCCGAAAGCAATGGGCCCTGGGATAATTCCACACCAGCTCCAGGTGCTACTGAATGGGGCCTCAGAACCTAATCGCTTCCTCTGAGACAGCTCTAGACCTCTTGTTCGGCATCTCCACAGCAGGTTCCCAGAGGAAAAGCTGATCATGACGAGAAAATGGGTATTAAGCAGAGTCAGGGACAGCTGATGGTTGTAAGAGTCAGAGCTTTCTGGGAACAGAATAGAGACAGAATGAAAACCATCTCTATTGTCCAAGAGCTGATCCTGTGTGCTTTGGTGCCCACTTTGCAGTGACGGGGTGGTGAGACCGCGTGGAGTGAGATGGAAAGGACGGCACTGCAGGAAAGATTGGGAAAAGGGGAAACGTTGAAGTGAAAGAGACACATTGATTGGTTGCCTCCTGCACACAGGCACAGGATTGAGCCTGCAACCGAGGTCCAGGCCCTTGACTGGAATCAAACTTACGACCCTTCAGTCCATTGGCCAATGCTCCAACTACTAAGCCAAGCCAGCTAGGGCAGTAGATCAGACATTTGAATTTCATTCTAGGTTTCAGTTTCATGGTATGCTATGAGAAGCATCAGAAGGTATAGGCTCACCTTGGTTTTTTATTTTCTCTGGTTATCTGCTATCTTATCTTTGCCTTTCTTCTAGAATCTCCAGTTCTGTGCAAAGATAACATAACCTTGAAGTCACTGCTAGAAAAAAGTAAGATGGGTCCTAGATGCATTGTCACTAGAATTGGCTACATTTATCTCTAAATTAACTCCAGGTTTATGTTGCTGGCTTTTGAAGACATGCAGCAAACATTTCATTTTGGACAACTAAAAGTCTGAAACATCGACGGTGTTCTGAGTACTTTGGTTTAAGGAGCTGTTTTATGGTTGTGACCGTTTTTAGATCCATTATGGCAGAACCCGATATTAATGGGTTTGGACCACCCTCATGAATACTGTCTTCTTGGTGACCTTTAGGCAGGTGGAAGAACTGTTTCAAATTTAGGTTTAACTGGTACATGTGAGGGTTTTGAAGAAAAGTTTAAGTTCACAATCTTGGCGATAGTTTGAAGATTAGGGATTGAGGGAGACTGTAGGCTCTCTCATGTTCCTACTTGCCTTCACTTTTTTTTGCAGTATTTCCGAGACAGCGTAGCTCAGTGTGACCCTCAAGGCAGGTTTGGGTGCTCTTGTAAGAGTGTACAACCAATTCCTAAACATCTGTAAGTAGTGTTTATATCTGTATCCCCGATTTATCTGATCAAATGTTCCAGAAGAAAATTACACATTATGACTTGTTCAATAGCCTAAAACCAAAAGGAAAAAATCTCTTGAAAGGCATGCTGAACATGTCATCCGAGTGGTATCTTCTTCATCCACTGTGGTCGGTAGGATCAAGGGAGATGGTACTGATAAAGTGACCAGGGAAGTCTTGATTTGGCTGGCGTGCATCACAATGCTAGCCTTACCTCAGTGTAGTATTTGGAGTGTTAATTTTATTTGGCCGCGATGCATGTGAGACATCTTGTCTGAGAGATTTTAATTGTACCAGTGAGTAAAACTAAAACTGTGAATACTGATGCACCGAAATTACAGCATACGCACAAGGTTTAGTTTTATACGGTTTCTTGTTTAGAGTTATTAACTATATGGAGGAATAAATGTCTTTTAAATATTTTAAAACATTACAAAACCCACAATGTAAAGTTGCCATGAGGCAGCCAAGAATAATACATATGGCATTCAGGAGAGCAGTTGCTAATTGGCTGCTGCCTGAGAAAATGGTACACTTGGCGTCTACTTAACACTGTGGGTTTGGCAGGAAGCCAGATTTGGGGTCAGGTTGTTGTGAATGAAGCTGCATGTGGTTAGGGAGGAGTTAAAATGATTCATGTCTTAGAAGCCTTAGCACGTCGAGCAACGTGCAAGGGCCTAAGTGTGTCGGTCTACAACCCCCGGCCGCCCACCAGCTCACAACGTGCTCGTTGCTACCAGGACGGCCTGTGCTGCCTCTGTCATTCCCATTTCATGTGCGGATGGGAGTAACCCTTTCCTTTTGGAATATTCCAGTAGATGGTTTTAAGTATGTGCCTGAAATTTTCTTTTGTTGCAGAAGGAATCTGGAGAGGAGGTAGAAGTTGAGGAATTCTATGTGAAATACAAAAACTTGTAAGTAGATTGTGATTTTTTTTTTTGGATTGGGGAATATATTTTTTGAAGTACTAAAAAATGCTTTAAAAATATTGGGAAAATAAAAAATAATTGGGAATTTGGAAACTGTGGTGTGATTTATTTAGAACTTTGAAGACCATTGCCTAATACCTTTTGATATTTCATGAATTTAATTTTCTGGAAAAGGTGTAATGGGTGTAAAGGTGGACTAACTCTCATGCATAACCATGAAGTTCTTTTTAGAGGGGTAAGAACTCCTACAGTAAGAGAAAGTGAGTAGCAATACTACTCGCCTGTCCTCTGAGGAGGAGTTTCACTCTGTGGGGCTCCCCTTCCTCCCCTCTCTGTGTGTGGGATGCTGGGCACTTGAGGCGAGAAGTCCACCGTCAGGCCCAAGCCCTAGAAAACCGTGACGTCACTCACATGTCGAAATGCAGTGAGCTATGTCTACCTGTTTTTGTTTCTAATTTTTGTTCGGTGAAGTTGAATTGCATAACTTTTAAAAAACTGAATTGAAAACACAGTGTGTTGTTCTGCATTGTAGATGTAGGCAGTTTACTAGGACTGAACACACATTTTGGCGAGACAGCATCGTTTTAAGGATCAGTCGTCATCTTGCTGAAGAAGACTAAGGACGTTTTCTAACCTAAGTAACAGTCACAGGGCAAGGACGAGAACACTCACTGATAACATAAACATTAAATTTTTTTTAAACGTTCTAGGAGAAGGAACTCAAATACCATATTAATAAATTCCAGGGTTTAAAGACAGGCTTTTGGAGTTACTGTCCGCACAGCCTAAGAAAACTTACCCTACCCTCGATAAGAAAAGTATCAGCCTCGTGCTTTTTATCCTTCTGCAGTGTTGCACTTGGCATTGTGTTAATGAACCGGTGCACTTCTGAAGTTCTGTGAGCAAAACCTTTTACCTAGTAAGAAGATGAGGAAGCCTCTTACCAGCGTACAGTGAGAGTACAAGGAAATACGGAGTCTGGCAATAAAAAATGTTCAGTAAACATTCGATGTCGTCATCATTTGCTACTCAGAGCACAATGAGTTTACACAGTTGGAAATTATGAGTATGACATGATTTTATATAGTCGTATAAAGAGTGTGGTAAGGGTAGGTAAGGAAGAGATAACAAAGTAAGCCAGAGAGAGTGAGTTCTTGGTACACTTACCAAATTAAAGTTAGAGCAAAGGTGCTTAAGTAATGATTCCATAAAAGGCACCGGCAGGTAGGCATCCACTAAATCAGGGTGGGGCGGTGGGACCTGGGGTGCTGGTCATAGAAACATCTCACCTGGCTGGCACAGCCCCAGAGGAGCTCACGGTGCTCCGGACCAGGGACTGCTGCCAGGCCGGGGGACCAGCCGTCCTTCGTCAGTCAGATGAGAGGACGCAAAGGTTCTAAAACAACAGCTTTCCTAGCTGACATGATTGGGATCTAAAGGAAATTAAACTGTCCATAAAATGAACAGTTTCTGTTAACCTTTTTTTTTTTTGGACATAATTTCAGTTTTACAGGAATAATGCAAAAATGGTACAAAGAGTTTGTTTTTCTTTGTGTAATTAAAAAGTGCCTTGTAGAAAGATACTTTGAAATAAATGTGATAATGGCTGCTAAGTGGTGATTTAGTGATTTCATCACTCCTAAATTTATTAGTTGGGTTTCAACTATAAGGAAGAGCTTTAACCTTTTTACCCATTTGCTTATTTATAGCCGTGCAGACTTGTGGCGTTTTACTTGACTCCATGGGTCATAATTCTTTATTATCATTTACTTTGCTCGCAGTATCCCAGATTTGACCATTGGGAGCCCCTTCAATCTGGCCCCTCTCTCCTTTTGCCTTGGCCCGTCTTCTCTGAGCTCTTCCTTACTTTTCTGACACAGGGCGATGCTCCAGACTCCTCTGGCAGTTTTCTTAGATGTGCTCATGGCTGCTGGGGAGTCATGCTCGGCCCTCTCAGTGGACAGGGCTAAGAGGGGGGTGCTTATGTCGGTGTGTGCACTTACGTGCATGGACATGTGTATGTCTCTGTGACATATATACACACGTCACACACATATATGTTAATTACATAAACACACACCTCTACCTACCAACCTAACAGCAGTAAAAAACAGTGCCTTTATATTGATAACTTCCAAATTTATTTCAACACCACGGGGTTTATTCTATCCTTTCCCCTTCTAATATTAATAACTCCCTTCTTTGACCACAAGAAACCTGACTCTTATTTTCTATAATATGTTTGCTTATTTGTCAGTCTTAGAATATACAGGAAGTGGTTTCAGAATGACTAGACCATATTTCTGTGAAAAAGAAGCCTACTAACAAGTTCATTTGGTATTTGTTTATAGTTTTTTCAATTTAGCCTGAGGGTACAGAGGCTAAATACTTTGTTCAAGATTTCCTTGGGTTAGTTCTTTTCCTCCTCCTGCCCCCTTTCAGTGTGGTTATTTATTTGCTACATAGTTTGGTTCATTAGTTTCTGTTTGTATTTGTATTCCTTTTTAGCTCCCTGCCCCCAGTCTTACTGATACATATAATTCAAGTCCATGAAATATTCACTGGTTCAAAAATCAGAATTACACACCAAAGAAGTGTTACCCCCCTCTCCACCCCATTCCTGCTTTCCTTCTTATTAATCCCAGATTTATCCTTTCCAAAATTTTGCCATGAACATGCATAGATATGTGTATGTGTGTATGTGCATATATACATATTACACATATAAAATATAATACTTATTTCCCCCTTTTTTGCACATAAAAGAATAGCATATTAGCAGTATACATTTGCACTTTGCTTTTTTCACAAGACTACATTCTGGAAATGACTTGACAGTTCATAAGGTCTTCTTCATTCTTTGTTACAGCTACATAGTACTCCATTGCACGGCTATATCATAGCTTATTCAGCCAGTCTCCTCTATAAGTGGCTTCTGATAGTTTATAGTAACAGATAATGCTGCAGTAAATATTCCCACACCTGTATATTTTCGAATTGTTGGAGGCATAGCTTCAGGGTGAATTCCTAGAAGTGGGATTGCAAGATCAGAGGCCGAAGGTACATGCGGCTCTGTCATTGCCACATTTCCTTCCAAAGGCCTGTGTCGGTTTGCATCCAGTCCGCAATGGCAGAGAGCACCCGCTTTCCCTCAGCCTTTCCAACAGAGTGCAGTTTACTTTTACTTTTTCTGCGGAATTGTATTTCAGTGTAGTTCCAAGTAGCATTTATTTTTATTCTGAATGAAGTCGAACATATTTTCCTAAGTTTAATGGCATTGTATATCTTATTTTGTCAGTTGTTTGTTCATGCCTTTTGCTCATTTTTCTGTTGTGTTCTCCTCAATTTTTAAGTATTCTTTATATGGGATATTAGTTCCTTATCTGTGTTGTATATTGCAGCTACCTTCCCTCACCCCCAGTTTCGACTGTCTTTTAACTTTATTGCATTGTAAATTTAAATATCTATATTTATACAGTTATACCTACTAATCTTTTCTTTTATTGGGACTGGCTTCTGAGTCACAGTTAGGAAGCCTTTCTCTGCATCCAGGTTAGAGAGGAATCGCCGTGTTTTCCTCCAGACTCTAGAGCTCGCATGGATTCATTGTCTGTGTGTAGGTGCCTCATCCACTTGGTGTTTATCTCTGTCCCAGCTATTTGAGGTGCAGCTGTTTTGTAGTAAAGATACATATTTATTTGACTCTGTATCTGTGGTTTAGTCTAATCCTTTCGTCGTGAGCCTGTGCACACTGTTTTCCTTACAGAGGTTTTACAGTGTATTTTAATATCTAGATTCCCCTAAGATCATTTCCATTTTTAATGTTTTCTTTGATATTCTTGCATGTTTACTTTAATATTTAGTTCAGCATTAAATTGTCTTGCTCCATAAAAATGCTTGTTTATATTTTTATTTACATTGTGTTGATTTGCAAATTTATAATGTTGATTCAGACTGTCTAAAAACAAGGATATCTTTACAGTTGGTTCAACTCTAATTTTGTGTCTGTTATAGGAGAGTTTTAAACATGTCCTTATATTAAGTTTCACACGTTTCTTATTAAACTTACTAGTATTTTATCTTTGTTGATATTATAAAAGAGATTTTCTGTAATATGACATCTTCTCACTTGTTATTATTTATGTGAATGGAGACTGTTGACTTAACTTTATATCCTGCTACATTACTGGAATTATTTTATATTTTGAATTAATTTTCTAATTGATTCTCTAGGGTTTTCCAGTTATGCAATTATATCATCTACAAATAGAGATAGTTCTACTTCTTATTGTATTGCTCCTCCTGCTTTCTCTCATCTAATGGCATTGGATAATGCCTTGAATATGATGTTGAATAATAGTGGGGAGAGAGCCCACCCTTCACTTGTTTCTGATCTTGGTGAAAAGCCTGGGGTGGGGTTTTCTCCTTATAGTGAAGCAGAGTTACTGACCGAAAACTTCAGCCCAGTTTGTGAGAGAGAGAGAAGCACTGTGCCCACCTCCCGGTCACACCGGTGGTGGCCTGTTCCTACCTCCCGGTCACGCCGGTGGTGGCCTGTGCCCACCTCCCGGTCACGCCGGTGGTGGCCTGTGCCCACCTCCCGGTCACGCCGGTGGTGGCCTGTGCCCACCTCCCGGTCACGCCGGTGGTGGCCTGTGCCCACCTCCCGGTCACGCCGGTGGTGGCCTGTGCCCTCCCGGTCATGCTGGTGGTGCTTCAGAGGCCTGCGCACTGCAGTCAAGATAAGAGCACTGACTGCACGTAGCCCCTTCCTCCCCAGGAGGTAGGAGACTAGGATAGGTCATGCTTACATTTGCTTCTGGTTATAGCAGTACAGAGTACTGTATATTGAGAATTTGGAAGATCGGGGTTGAAAGTAGAAAATAAAATACTTGCAATCTTACCACCACAAAATGATCATTATTAACATTTTGATGCATTTTCATCTAGTGTGTTTTCTCTATGAATATGTATGTACAGGGTTTATGTCAATTCATATCTATATAGGCATATATATTTAAAGTCAGTGTCTCCCTCAGTCAATTGTAGTACTAAATCAGTCCTCCCTTTGAAAATGCATATTAAACATTACGTAAATATAAATGATATGATACTTAATATCATAAGTGTTCCCATATCATTAATCATTTTTGAAAGATTTCATAATGGCTGCACAGTTTCTAAGAGTAAGTACCTTGATTTTGAAAGATATATATATATATATTTTCAAGCCCCTCATTTCTTTTTAATGCCCTCACTAGTAAGAGAAATAAGTGACACTTGAGGCCATCAGGGGTAGGGAGAGAATGATGGTACTAAAGAATATTGAAATACCAAATAAAATAATGTCAAAGTTACCATAAAGCATTAACTATATACCTGTGAGTGCTGGGGAAGGAAAAGGGAGGATGGAGAGTATTGAAGTTGAGGTTAGAGAAAACACAACGTGCTCAGAGCAGGCTGGTGAGTCTGAAGGGGAGGGGATGTGCCCATTGCAAGGACAGGGTAGACATTAGAGACTGAGAATGCACAGGGAACAAGGGGCATCATTGCAGAGCTGGAAGGGCTGGGCTGGGCTGGGAGGCAAGAACTGGCTAGGAGCAGTTAGGGGCATGGGTGATCAGAGGGCGGGCGGTGGGCCCTTCTCCTTGATTGCTCTGGATAGGACTAAGTGTTAGGTTTGCCTTTGCTATTTCACATTTGAAATTTGAGTTTTAACTTGATGAAAACCTTTTATTTCTCAATTAATGGTAAAAGGCTCAAAATATAAATTCATAATTAAGGCCACCCTCTAGTTTTAACTGTTTTGTATTGAAGTGTAATCCATTTACTTATAAAACATCTTGTTGTTGGGTTATTTATTTATTTATTTTATGGGAAGTGGATAAGAGAGCTGGGGGCTAGGACAGAAGGCACATTTTAGGCACTGTTACTGATTTTCTTCTCTTAGTCTCAAAAGTTAGTAATTATGTTGAATGTTGCTCAGCAGCCTGTATGAGTAAACAGGTTATTTTGCTAATTAGCTGTTTAGTTGACTTTGGGGGATCTATAAAAGACATATATAATAAAGGATTCATTATTTTTCACATGTTTGAAGTATATTATTTTATTTTTTTTTAGCTCTTATCTTCATTGTCAATGGGCATCTGTAGAAGATCTGGAAAAAGATAAGAGAATTCAGCAAAAGATTAAACGTTTTAAGGCAAAGCAGGGCCAGAACAAATTCCTTTCAGAGGTATGAAATACCTGGTTAATTTTCAAAGTATTTACTTTATTTAAATGTTACGAATTTTGAATTTTATTAAGAAAAACTAGTTTGCCTCATTTGATGCTGTTACTTGCATATTGGTAACTGGTTATTGCCAAAAAAAATTTGTAAACAGGAAATTTCTCATTCTTCCTGTTGCTTAGTCTAGAAGATACTGGTCCTTAACTGTGTGGAAATATGATGGTATGATTACAGTCTTGTAATGAAAGTCCAGTTAGTAGATATTGAAAAATGTAAGTAGAAAAAAGTTCTATTAAGATTTAGCGGGTTAAAAACTCTACAGTACACATTAAATACAAGTTCTAGGAAATAAAAGTTTATTTCTTTTGGGGAAGGTATGAGGCAAATTTCTTTTGTTCAAGTCAGTGCCTCATTACAGAAAGTTCACTCGACTAATTTTCACAAGTGCTGTGGTGTAGCAATTGGCATAATATCTTTGCTATCTCCCTTTATCTTGGGTTATCAATTATGATGAGAAGGTAACCATACCTAGGGCAGGGAAGAAAAATTCACATTTTTAAGAAGGGCCAAGTTTCCCCCCAACATAGTCAACTACGTTTTAAAAAAGTGCTTTCACACACTGCTTCCTGGGGGCTCTGGACTGTTGATCACCAGTTTGGTTTCACTTACAGCCTCCAGTAGATTAAAAAACACACACAAACCTTCACACTGAAAGATTAAACTTGCTGATTTCTTAGTTTTCTTTTCCATTAAGGAGTTAACAGAATATAAAATGTAAGGAAGTGTGAAATTGATGCAAAATAATACCTGTTTAACAGCCAACTTCACACCCCCACCTCTATTTAGAGATAGGGGTGGGGCCAGAAGAGTGGTCAATACTTTATATCATAAAATCCTTATAATCTCAGGTGACAAGTCTCTGTTCCCCTGGAATCTGATTTTCATGCAGATTTTACATTGTTTACAGGCAGATTGTAAAGTGTGTATTAGATGGGGGATCAGGTGGTGGTGGCTTTACTGGACATATGTCTGGATCACCACTTCTGTTATTCTGAGTCATAGGCGTCTTTGCAGTACAGTAGGTAGCACTGAGGGGAAGGGAGGTGTGCGAATGTGACTTGCTCCTTACATCTTGGAGAATATTTAGGTGATTCTCTGAAAGGGCAGTTTCTAAGAAAATAATGGGAAGTTCCATTTTTCATGCCCTTCTTAATGAAAAGAAGGTTAAATGTCTGTGACATTGGGCAAGTTGAAATCATTTAGCTTCCTTTTAGAAAGAGACACCGTATGTTCTGCTGACCTTTTCTATGGATTAGTGGCAAGGAACAGGAAAGCGTGCTATGTTAACTTACCCTCGCAGCCTTGGGTCCTGGTTCTGTTTATTAAATTTATTTGGGCCGTGTTTCCTGGAGTCAGATGCACTTTAGGGACATGTGCCTGGCCCTGGCTCTGTAGCCTGTCTGTGTGGGTCTGTCTTTGTGGATCACCTACACCAAGGTCAGAATACATTATTTTGCTGGTAACTTGTCAACTAGAATCTGAAGTTTTGACTTGAATGGAAGTCTGAAAAGAGAATCCAAGTGTTAGCAGAAAAGGATAAAGGAGATTCCTTTCCTCTTTTTCTTCCACGTGCGCGCGCGCACTCACACACACACACACACACACACACACACACACACACACACACACCTGTTTGTCTATATTCCATAGATGGTCCTGGATTTAGGTTTTCCATGCTAAGTTCTGACTACTTTTACATTCTTTGTTTCACCTTATGCTTTCTTATAAGTCTGCTGCAACTAAAATCTCTGTTCAAGGAGATTATTGAAGCTGGAAATTGCATCATATGCATGATGGCATGCATAGATTATTCACCTGAAGGATAGAAATGTTTAGGAGTAAAGTTAAGGATTTAAATTCAGCAATGACAGCTTCTGTTTAAGAATGAGTTGTCTTAAAAACAGCATTTGTCATCAAAACTAGTTACTAGAAAGTTTTAGTGCTTATGCTGTTGTGAATAACACACACATATTGTGTGCCTAAATCTAGACTTGTTTGACAAAGCCGGTGCATTAATATATTGATATTTTAAATTAACTGAGCATTTCAATGAATTTTTTGCCTCGCTGATCAACTCTGTGTGAAGGCCTGAGGCAGTTGAAACATATTTTTGATTTTTGGTTTATAATTCACAGTTCAAAGCACCCAAACCCAGTGTCTTAATGGAACAGTAGCCCAGAGAAGGTGTTATCCCTGAGCCTACTGTGATCGAACAGCTTATCTTTTCAACCTGCAATTCAGCGCATATGAAGTGTCTCATATGTCCTTGCAAAGCATTTTCATGCAGTTATATTACTGATAAATTAATTGATAGGAACACGATAATATGAATTTTGTTTCCTAACTTATCTGACTGATTTAAAGTATGGCTTAGACTGTAACTTCCCTTTGAGTCATATTGTGTGTTTTTTAAAAAAATATGTGATAACTTTGCAAGCAAGCAGTATTACTTTCTTTTGTAAAAATTGTTAATATATTGGCTAACCTAATTATTTAAGCCTTATTTTTGTATCCCTAATACTTTTAACTAAATGCTCTATATTCGGTACAAATAAATCATTAGAACCTTTAATGACAAGACTGTATTCAAATGAGGTACTAATATTGATTGGCAAAAGCAACCAAATATCATAAACTCTGTTCATACTAAAATATGAAATTCACTGGTTTCAGTGTTTTTAGCTCTGGAATAACGTTCTCTAAATGATGCTGTAAGGCAGCAGACCACTCTGGGAATTGTGAGATTCCAATAGCACGTACTGTGCATGGCTCTGGGTCTTTTTTGCAAGCTGTAGTTTCAAGAATGCTGAATGCGTCGCATGCCATCAGCCTTTTGGATTGCTCATTAGTGAATTGTAATTTCACACTTCATTTAAAATATTCTTAAACATTCTCTCACAGTAAAAAGGTTTCACACAGTAATTAAAAGACCCAGTTAACAAAGTCTGAGAAGTCTGATTTCCTCATGGGGAATGATTTTGCTAAATTGTAGCATTTCAATTAATATAAAAGAATTTGCCAAATATAAATTTTGTGTTGCTGTGACCCAAAATATTACTGCTCGGTAAAAAGTGGAATAGTGTTTACTCTCAGGAATTACATAAACATTTTAAATTGTTTTTCCTTTGGTGCAGATTGAAGATGAGCTTTTTAATCCAGATTATGTGGAGGTTGACCGGATAATGGACTTTGCACGTAGCACAGATGACCGGGGAGAGGTAACAAAAGACCATTCGTATTAGGGGGCGGAGCTCAGACAGCTTATGTGTGTTTACAGACAGGGATCGTGGCCATCCTAGGTCTGGTCCTGGTCAGAGCCTTGGATCATGGCACACTTGGTCTAAATTTAACTGAAGTTTATTGACTTACTATTAGTTTTATGACTTAATAATAGTGCTAAATGTGTTTATATGTAGTCTGGGAGCTTTTTAAAAGAAATCAATTTTCAATATGAAACAAATACATCGACATTTTGCACAATTCCAGAATATAATCAATAAAAAGAATTCAACACGTTTCAGTATAAACCTGTTATGTAGCACAAAATTTCCTTATGTAATTAAGAGTACAGTTGTAGCAGAACGGAGTTTAATATCATCTAACATTGGACATACTTAGTGAAGTTGATGAACTTCATTTAATATGGTGCACAGAGGATGTCATAAATTAAGATCATATCAGTTACATGATATTTGACTTTTTTATTTTTTCTTATTTAGTTTTACTTGAAAAAATATGTTTCATAATATATTTACATAGTACACCAAATGGTTTTAACATCATAACCAGGTCAATGTACCTTAGTCCTGAAATGAAGGTCAACAAACCCAAACATTTTCTAGAGGAAAAGACAAAGGAAATTCCATTAATCTGTATTACCCAAAATATTTTGCTCTCCAATCTTTTAGAACTCAAAACACATTATTTTTGTAAAAGATTTTTAAAATTGATTTTTGGAGAGAGAAACATTGTGTGAGTGGGGAACATCGATTGGCTGCCTCCTGCATGCCCCCTACTGGGGATTGATCCTGAAACCTGGTCATGTGCCCTGCTAGGGAATGGAACTGTCAACCTTTCAGGGCACAGTAGGATGCCCAACCAACTGAGCCACACTGGCTAGGACTCAAACACATTATTTTAAAGTGATTGGATACAAACAGTATTTCTCCCTTTAAGAAAAAGGCAGAAATCCTAATAAACTCAAGCCTTTTATTATTTTTTAAGAAACTAACCAATTATATAAATACTAGAGGCCCAATGCACGAAATTCGTGCAAGGGGCTTGGCCCTCGCAGCCCCGGCTTCGTCCGGAAGGTCATCTGGTCTAATTAGCATGCTACGCTTTTATTATTATAGATATAGATATACTAAGATAATTTACTATATATGTCTGAATCAAATACCTGGTGAATGATTTGCACAGGCTCAAATTCAACTATTATTTACTAGATATTTATACTTTTTGGCTTTTGAACATTACTTATCAGTGACTTAAATAAAAATTAATTTGTTCTGATAATACTGCTCAATAATACTATTTCCAGTTTAGACTTGAGACTCTATAACTAGAGACTACTTTTAAAACTTCTACCCACTAAGTCTTACTGCTGCTTGGGTGGTGTCTGTTGACAAATGAGGTAGAGTACCCATTTCCTTTATACATCAAGTATTTTGGTCAAATGAATCCGATTCTGATTCCTTTAAACGTGCCCCAGCCCGTGACTCACTACCTGGTGAAGTGGTGCTCCCTGCCTTATGAGGACAGCACTTGGGAGCTGAGGCAGGACATCGATCAAGCCAAGATCGAGGAGTTTGAGAAACTAATGTCTAGGGAGCCGGAAACAGCGCGCGTGGTAAGAGTTGGCTGAGGGTAGGGGATTTAATTTGAAAATAGCATCGTGCGGTCTTTGAGAAACCACTAATGGGATTTACTATATTTGAAACAGGAGCGACCTCCTGCTGATGATTGGAAGAAATCGGAGAGTTCCAGGGAGTATAAAAACAATAACAAACTCAGGGAATACCAGTTGGAGGGAGTAAACTGGCTACTTTTCAATTGGTACAACATGTATGTAAAACATGTTTCCTTCACTTTTAAAAAGGCCTATTGTTTTTTCCTTTGTAGTTATTGAAAGTAGTACTCAAGTAAAACTTAATAACATTTAACTCTCTACTAAGATTATAATAAAACAGTAAACACTGGAAGTATGCTTATTACTTACTCAACAAATAATACAGAGGTTGATAGAAGTATGTAAAAGTAATTATTTTTTGGAAATGTACTTTACTGAAGCTAAGGAAAACATCTAAGATAGGCATTTGTGAGTATAGTAATATATGTCTTGTGGAAGCAGTGACTAATTATCTGTACTCATTAAACTTTCCTTCTTTTATTTCCTTCCCAAAGGCGAAACTGCATTTTAGCAGATGAAATGGGTTTGGGAAAAACTATCCAGTCCATTACATTTCTCTATGAGATATATTTGAAAGGAATCCATGGCCCTTTTTTAGTAATTGCCCCATTGTCCACAATCCCCAACTGGGAAAGGGAATTCCGGACCTGGACAGAGTTGAACGTGGTTGTGTATCATGGGAGTCAAGCTAGTCGTCGGACCATTCAGTTGTATGAAATGTACTTCAAAGATCCCCAGGTAAAACATCACAGGTGGTTTTGCCTGTGCTTAGTCTGTGCATTTTAAAATGTTGGGATTTAAAATGGATTCAGTGATTTGGGGGAAAGGTCTAGGTTTTGCAAAATTGAGAAATTTGCTTTAGGTTTCTTACCTAACTTATGATTGTATTATATTTCTGCATGTCATAATTACAGCTTTTCATTTTTATAGCTTAATCATTATTATTATTAGATTAAAAATAAATGAAATTTTTTACCTTGGATGATCAATGAAAATCACTTAATGTGTTGATTTGCTAATTGGCTTTCTTTTGCAATTAAAAATGTAAATAGAAAGAATATTTTGTTACATTTTTGCTGGAAATGAAAAATACTAGGCACGTAATTTTGAGTGACACAATGAATGAAATACATCCAAAGGGAAGAGTTTATACTTTGGCTCTTAGCAATTACTGTGAATTTTCACTTTGCTAGTTACCTGTATGCAATTATTCTGTGATGTTAACATTAAAAATTACTTGGTGAAGAAGGGAGAATAGTAATCCCTAAATTAGTTTTAAGCTCTAGGTAGTAAATGGGAGTTTTATGACTGGAAATAGGACAGAGATTTTTGTTTTACTTGTTTGTTTGCTTTAAAATCTGCCCTATAATTAATTAAAGAAGGGAAATATTGAAATTTGTTTTTTGTATTTATCTTTAAATTTGGGAAATTATTATAATTTCTATCCTAAGTGAATGTTTTTTTGTTTTATTGCTTTAAAAATAAAAAATAAGTTACAATAGTAAAAGAAAGGTAAAACACTTTAAAAAGTAAAAAAGTTTTGTTTTTTTTAAGTTAGCTTAGTACACAATGCCTTTGGCCTTTCACCTTTCGGAGTCGGTGGGATGTGACTAGAATGGGCACTCTTGGTGGCACTTTACTGTGTGTGGCTCTGTAAGGAAATTGGATCAGAAATTTTACTAACAATTTTCTAACCTCCTTGAAAAAGGAAAGCTTTTAAGGCCTTCTTATACCACAACAGCTTAAACCTCCAAAATATGTGTTATTTAAAATAAAGATGTCCCCAAAGGGATAAATTCATATGTCTTATGCTCTTTATTCATCCTCAAAGTTGTTACTCTGTAATGCTAGATAATAATCAGAGTTGTTTTTGTAGGGTCGAGTGATAAAGGGGTCCTATAAGTTTCATGCCATCATCACGACCTTCGAGATGATTTTGACTGATTGTCCTGAGCTGCGGAATATTCCATGGCGCTGTGTAGTCATCGATGAAGCCCACCGGCTGAAGAACAGGAACTGCAAGCTGCTGGAGGGACTCAAGATGATGGACTTGGTCAGTGATCATTTGGTGATTCCATTGAACCCCAGTACATCTGTCACCGGCTCAGCATTCCCGCCACTCTGGATTTGACTGATGCCTGGGGAGGGTGTTTGCAGAGTCTGTCAAATATTGTGATACATCCTCCCGCGCTTGTAGTTACACAAAAGTGGCTGCTGTCTTCCTGATTCTGACGTTGGCTGGTATTCCTGCACAGTGGTATCACAGCATACTATAGTCGTGATACTTTACCTAAAATGAGTTTCTAGTAATTGCTAAACAGTTCTCGGTGTTGGATGTATGGAAGTAGGACAAGGGCATAAACGTGACAGGGGAGCTGGTGAAAGAGCTCGTAAACAGGAGGGAATGTTTTAAAGAAATACCTGACTTGGTTCAGAGACAAAGTTAGAAATAGCATCTGTTAAAAAAACGTGATTGTGGTCTTTAAAACCAAGCCGACCCCTTTGCTAGTTTGAAATTTTTGAAGAACAAAATAGGTTTTCATGTGCTGTCGCGTGTAGAAGAACAACTTTTGTCTGCAACGTGAGTCATGCAGGAAGCAGATGGGGAGACACGAGCGCTGTTGATGCAGAGAACAGAAAGTCATGGGAGCTTTATCTGAGCCTGGGGATTTTAGGAAAAACTTCAGCTCTGGTGCGGAAAAAGCAGACCTTAGGGGACTTGCAAAGCCGGGGCCCTACACTGTTGACCTAATGACCCCAGGAAGAGACGAAATGGCAAGACACAGTTACCACCAGGCCTGCAGTTCCAGGCGGGCCCCTCCGTGCGCATCTGAATCAGGGACCTTTTTTTTTTCTTGTATCTCCGCCTTTGTGCCTAATTCCTTTACTTTACGTAGGGTAGGTGCAGAATTAGCTGCAGAGAGAAGTGGGAACATGGGTACCTAGAGAGGCTCTGGTTTTGAGAAAAGGTTTTTGTTCTGACCTGTCACGGACTCCTCTTGCGTTCCTGCAGGAACACAAAGTGCTGCTGACGGGGACCCCGCTGCAGAACACTGTGGAGGAGCTCTTCAGCCTGCTCCACTTCTTGGAACCAAGTCGCTTCCCTTCAGAAACCACCTTCATGCAGGAGTTTGGTGATCTGAAAACAGAAGAACAGGTATTTCTCCCGTCTACTTTGTATTTTAGTCATGCAAGTGAAGATGAACTCATGAAATGGCAAAGGAGTAATATTAAACTAGTGTAAGAATGTAAATGATCTTAGTTTTGTCCCCCTGCCCCGTAGACAGGTGAGCTTTATATCTCCTTTCCTTGGAGAGCCCAGGTCTTCATGACAGAGGTTTTCTTGTCTGTCTGTCCATTTGCCCTCGTGAAGGGTTGTTGATGGGTAGAGGTGTTCGTGTAATTTGCAGAGGCTGCTGTGCTGTTCAGGTTGGTGGTTTTACTAGGTCTGCTTTTGGGAATGTTGTATACTTTTGGGGATAGTGTCAGAAGCCATGGAAATTTGTAGAGCTGCTTGCCTCCTGGAGTTTTAAGGTCTAGTCTTAATCTCTTCTGTTAAGTTCAAAGTGAAGTCCGTTTTGTTTGTTTTACTTTTTGCATAAAAACTCTCTGGTGTGCTGTCCCCTAGTGCCAGTCACCAGAAAAGGGGGCTGGAGGGAGACACCTCTGCTTGCAGGACTGGCCACCTCCTGGCTTATTCGCTGTTTCTGGAAAGCAAGAGAACTCAAGCAGAGGCCCCGCCTCCTCCCCGGACACAGTCTCTTCCCTCCCCCTCATCATCGCCACCGCTCAGGACAAACAGAATTGAAAGGAAATGAGTAGATTTGGTTCTTTTCTGCTGTGTCCCTGTCAAGCCTCCTGGTTGAGTGGTCCATTTGGCATCAGATCGTTCAACCTTCATGCACTTCTGTTATGAAAACTGGAAGTTTCCTGCCTTCGTAACCTTCCTGGGCTTTTTAAAAATGGAATTTATTGGGGTGACATTGGTTAATAATGTTATACAGGTTTCAGGGGTACAGTTCTACAACACATCATCTGTATACTGTACTGCCTGTTCACCACCCCAAGTCAAGTCTCCTTCCATCCCCTTATTGGGCTTTGACACATGAAAGTGAACGGTAAACCAGTAGGAGGATAATCTGCTTTTTCTCATTAGGATATGTGTTAAGGTGCAAGCAAGTCATGACATCAGTATTTACTTAAGGTCCTTTTGTAGGTGCAAAAACTCCAGGCTATTCTAAAGCCGATGATGTTGAGACGTCTCAAGGAGGATGTAGAAAAGAACTTGGCCCCCAAAGAAGAAACTATCATTGAAGTTGAGCTAACAAACATTCAGAAGAAGTATTACCGAGCCATCCTTGAGAAGAATTTTACATTTCTTTCCAAAGGTGGTGGTCAAGCTAACGTACCTAACCTTTTAAACACTATGATGGAACTACGCAAGTGCTGCAATCATCCGTACCTTATTAACGGTAAGCCTGGCTGTCGGTAAACTTATTTCATATCATTCAAAGCGCCAGAGATCCTTTCCTCCCTCCAGACTGAGGACTTTACGGGTTGTAGTCATCACTGTATCCTGACGCCTCAGTGTGGCTTTCACCCCTCCCTGTCCTCTGTGCTGCCTCCTTCTGTGGTGTCTGAAGGCAAAGACCATCGCTCCTGCCGGTCCCTCCCTGAAGCAGGACCTCACCTCATCTTTCTCCTGCATCCCTACATCTGTCTCACTCGTTGAAAGGAGTTGTTAGTGCTCCATGGCTTAAAAGTGTTCACAGTTAAGGAGAACTTAGCCCCTGACTGAGATTTTCTTGCTGTGTGTGTGTGTGTGTGTGTGTTGTTTTAATCAGAGAAGTTAGAGAGGAATTTTGGTGTGAGAGGCAGAGATTTATTGTCTGAAAACTTTGATCAGAGAAAATTTCAGTCTAGAGACCTTTAGCTCCAATTCCCTAAGAATGAGAGATTATTTTATGGCTTTGATAATAGTTTGTCCCTGTTGCTAATGAATACTTTATGCTCCTCCTGTCTTCTCACCTAAATTGATAGTGTTATATAACCGGCATGAGTACAAACCTGTATCATATACTTCCAAACATCATGAAAGGAATAAACATTTCATGCCTGTGTCGTGGACGAGACTTGGGAGAATACAAGAGCCTTCATTTTGTCGGGGGTTGAGATTAGGAAGCTGTTGGAAAGGGGTGGCGTGGAGACAGCCTACGGGGCTGGGAAGGATGTAGGCCGTCAGGGTTAGAACCAGGAAGGGCCTTACACTGATGTAAAACATGAGCAAAGAAAAGGAGTCAGGAAGACAAAGGGGAACTTGCCCAAAGTGTAAAGTCCATGCAAGCGACGGTGCGACGGCGAATGTAGACGTGCTGGGGCCCTGATGTGGAAGCCTCGGTGCTGGGTGATGGGCTTTGTCTTTAGTCCGTAGGCATTGGAGGACCACAGCCAATGTCTAAGCTGAGGGATGGTTAGAAATGCGATTCAGGATCATGGATCTGGCAACATCATATGAGACGGATGGGAGTCGGGAAAGATAGGCAGGTGCAACAACCCGCTAGGGGGCTGGTGCTGTCGTCCAGGTGGAGTTAAGATGGGGCGAGGAGAGCTGATAGCCCACTCACATGGGTGCTTGTGCTCGGTGACCATTGGCCAGCAGTGCCGTTAGGTTCCTTTCCAGGGAGAAGGAACAAGCCTGCTTTGTCTCTGTCACAATCCGTGAGGTTCAGGAGCAGCTAATTTAAAGAGTTCCTCATCTTTTCTTCTTCCATAACTTACACTGTCAGCCGCCTCGGCTCCAGAAGATCCTGTTACTAAATGACACATGGCCCACACCTGGGAGGCGGTCTCCGGGTGGCACCTGGGGCCATCGCTGTGGGGGACAGCAGCGCATTTCCTTTTCAGACTCTGCTTTTAGCTTTGTCTTTTAAAGAGAGTATCATGTGTGATAATTATATGTTTTATGCCACCAACCTGCTAATCACCATGTGTTTAAGAGCCTGGATGGCCATTTATGGTGAGTGCCAGACAGCCTGTTCCTGAGTTGGGGAGATGGAGTTGGGGCTTAGGGCAATTGATGGTATGAGTAAAGACACACACACCCTTTTGCATTTAATATCTGGTGACAAGAAAATGAGGGGAAGTCGCCTCCAAGGGGAAAGAAAAGGTGCTCACAAAAGGGATAAAATGCTGCCAACAGGGTGTGTGGGGAAGGATGATCTCAGTGAAGGTTGCCAGGTCTCCACTCCCAGTTCCACTGAGTTTACCTTGTTTGGTTACATGCTGATGCATGCATTGAGCATTGAGAGGCGGGGGTAGGGGGGCAGGGGGTGTTCTCTGTAGCTGATGCTCTCTGGGGTCACCCTCTATCTCTTATTTGCCAGAGGCTCTTAGGACTTCTGAGGTTTGCATCTGTGGCAGTTGTTCCAACTGGTCACACCTTGAGCTCAGCATCTCTGTCCTTAATTTATGAAGTGTCTGTTTAGCAGGTATACTTATATGCCTTTATGTTGAGAAATTGTACCCCCAAAATACACACACACAGGCACACACATACACACATTCAGTGTCACAACTTCACAGGTGACTTCTGTAGGTCTGTGTTTCACAGAGGGGCTCCAGGGCCAGTGCTGGCCACTCCATCCACAATCTGGAGTGGAGAAAAGACTGACACAGTGCCCCCCCCACACACGTTTGCTGTGCAGATAAAGGAGGTTAAATGAAAGTTGTATCGGTGGTGGCAGAGTAAAGCAGCCCTAATCAAACTAACGCTCAGTTCAGTAACGCACAATGTTTCTGAAGATGTGGGAAATAGAAACAGCTATAAGTTGAAAGGGGTAACATAAGTAAAGCAGAAAAAAAATTGGGAGTGATGGTAGCACACAAGTTAAATATAAAAGAAATGTTTTGAATGTGCGTTAAGTGCTTACGTGGTTGGAACAATGTTTGGTGCACTGTAAACACTCAGAGTGTTGCTAGTTGTTTTTTCTTGCTAAAAGTTAAGCAGGTAACTGAGTAACATAAATGGCAATACTATTTTGGGTCCAAGCTTTATTAGAATGAAATGCTCAATTTTAGGTTCACTATGTGAGATAAAAATAATGTTGAAAACTTGGTCAAGGTCCCCTAATAGTTAGGGGTGACTTGAGATGGTTGTTGTTACTGTTGGGGGTAGGAGGAGTGTAGAGAATCGTGAGCAGGAAGAAAACAAGACTGAAGCTAAGATGCCGGAATGAATTTCAGAGAGAAAATAATAACTTGTTTTTTTTTAATCTTCAAAAGAAAATAATTTCTTGTTTGGTTTTGGCTAACATAGTAGATGACGTTGCAATTACTTCCCTTACAGTGCCCGCCTATTAGAGTGGAAAGTCTTCCACACTCATTTCAAGAATGTCTTCGATACACATACACACACATTTTTAATTGTAGTATGATTGGTACCTTAATTTAAAACAGTGCCAACAAACTACATATTTTGGCTTCTCAGTTCATTTTCCGATTGATATTTACAACTAACTTCAAGGTAAATCTAACAGATAAACTTGAGAATTTGGCTGTGACATCAGAATGTAGAAGTTGCCTCCCTCACCTACACCTTCCTATGCCCCTTCCCTTTAGTCTGGCCGTAATAAATCCAGTGCCAATAGGGAATATGTTTGCTGATGTTTTAAAATGAAGTATTATTAGTGTAAAGTAGCTGCCACTTAAGAACCAGAATTCATAACAAAGACCTAAATTGATTGGTTCAGTCAATAGTAGTTTTTATCAGGTAAGAAAAGAATATATTTAAAATTTTTTTGAATATATTTTAATTTTGATTATTCTTCATAAGATGAGAAATTACTGAAAAAGGAGAAAAGTTATTTTTTCATCTCTGCATAAATTTAAGGTGAAAAATAATAAATTTCTCTACTGAATTGACTGAATTATTTGTTTTTTAAAATTTTTTACTAAAATAATCCAAACATGTCTGATATTTACTTTGTCAAAAATGATTACTTCATTTTTGAAATCTATTCATTGACCATTAACTTGTTTTAAACTAAAGCTATAAAAAATTTTGAGTATAGATTATAATCTTAATGTGGACAAAATAACTACCCAAATATCAAAAGAGTAAGACCTCTGTCTTCCTGAGTTGCAAAGAGCTTATAATATATTATCTCACAAGAACAAACTTGTAGCAACACCTCATGTAGTATGTGGACTTACGTCTATTTCTGCTCTCTGCCGAGAATCTTCTTGTCCTGAATATAGAACCTACATTTCTAAAGTTTATGTTTTGAAAAAGTTACTGAACTTTATTCAAGAGCCTGCCTGCTGCTACTGTTCTTAAATAGCATTTTGTTTTTTACATTTTTTTCTAGTAAAACCTTTGCCCTTTTTTTTTTCACTTGGAGGAGAATCCTGCCTATTAGCCTGTCACTGGTGTGGAGAGGGGAGCGAGCGGCTGGCATTTCCTGCCGGCCCCCCTAGTAAGCAGTAACTGTGCTTTCCAGGAGGCCTGGGTGCTCGGGAAAGGCATTGAGTGGCTGTAATTGGCTCTCAGTGAGATTCTTGGTTGATTAATTATTAACAAGCGTTATTTGTGCCCACGACCATGTCATAACTTAATTTGTACAAGGCCCTTAAATGGAAAGAGGGGCCACATTTGCTGCATCGGCCACCCTTACGGAAGGACCGACCGACCGAGTGGCTTGGTGGCCTACCTCACCTAACCTTTCAAATCCGCCGAGGTTGTGTATCCCCTTCAGGTGCACAGTAGTTAGTCCACATGTTTACAACCAGGGGTAACAAGAGTAGTTTACAGTTTCTGACACGGTTTAAGGAGGGAACCAATCCCATTAGATGGGTTTGTTTGTTTGTATTTCCTAAGAATAGGTGACCGCATCCCCGTCCTGAGGGAGAGGAGCTGAGCAGGCAGCCATGCCCTGATTAACCCCTGGGAGGGGAGGAGGCCTGACGAAGCTGCCTAATTCTAGTTAAGCCACCTAAGCAGTAGAAGGAGGCTTAGCCTGCTGCTCCCAGGATGAGGGTGGGTTTGGGGTCAGGGAAGGAGGTGTGACCAAGATGTCATTCTCTTGAGGCTTCTCTCTCTGATGCCCCCCAAATATTTGAACAAACAGAAATCTACATGGGGCTGTGATGAAAAGAGGGTTAGGCATAGAAATCTTACATGAACCAGGTATATTTTATTTTCAAAGTTTTTTGAGCTTTGAATAATTCAAGATTGAATTTTTGTCCCTTATGAAATTATCAGGTGAGAATGACTATGGAAGGAGATTACAGTAGAAAATGTGTGCTATCCCTAAAAAAAAAGTCCCTAAAAAATATCCTGAACAATGAATTCCCTTTTGTGGCAGTCCTTTGGGCTGTGTTATTGTACAATTATAAATACAAACTGCTGCCCATACACTGTAATTGTTAGAATTCTATCTGCTTGTTTCTTGGTTTCAGAACAGATTTTGTTGTGTGTTTATATTCATCCAGTAAACAGGTCTTTGTTTCTTCAGCCATTTAGGTTCCACATTTTCTGTAGGTACCTGGCCCTTGGCTTGTTTCTGCCACTTCTGGCCTGACAGTCTGTTGTTGAAATTCTGTTTCTACAATCAGCACACATTTGTTTGTTGTGGAAAATGTGGTTTTTCCCTTCCAATGCCTAAACGTGTTGTGCTGAAAACTTTGATCCCTTTTATGCTTTCCCGGTTTCGTGTAGCCCGAACTTCGAGGGAGGGGTGGGTTCGTGTTCGTAAACATGAGCGTGGTGGTCCGGTTCCCACAGTTTGCCGTGGGCTTTGAAAGCTAGTTCATTGTTTTCAGTAATAAAAACCTTTTACTGTATTCATGTTATGCTGTCCAATCTCTGCAGGTGCTGAAGAGAAAATTTTGGAAGAGTTTAAAGAAACACACAATGCAGACTCTCCAGATTTTCAGCTCCAGGCGATGATCCAGGCTGCTGGCAAGCTAGTGCTGATTGACAAGCTGCTGCCAAAACTGAAGGCTGGTGGCCACAGGGTGCTTATCTTTTCCCAGATGGTGCGCTGCTTGGACATACTGGAAGACTACCTCATTCAAAGACGGTGAGGCCTGGCTACGTAGAATAAAAAGGAAATTCAGAAGTGCCCTTGCGCAGGGCTCGACGCGGTTCACCTTGGAGTGATACCTGTGCTGAAGGGGGCGGGGTGGGACATCACATCTCTTTTTTAAAGGCTGTGGATGTACGCAGCAGGCGCTCTGTAATGGCTGCCGTAGGTCTGCGCGATTTTGTGGACAATTTTGTTTCCCGTTTCTTTCATTTGACCGGGGGAGACTAGTTCTGACCTAAAATTGAAATTGTTTGTTATTTTACTGTTGGAGGTGTCAGCTATTTTTAGAGGTTAGATGTTTCAGTGGAGAGGAAGTAAAATAAAAATGTAATCTCCGGGCATTCGAACCAGTTGTGTGAAAAACAACAAAACCCATTTGCTCTGAAATTGCTTCTCATACATAATATCATCGTTAATCTATATCCCAAATTGTATTACTGTCTTAGAAGTAAAAGAAAGGAGCAGGTGTATTGTAGCGGTCTGCCAGGCCTCCTTGCTCATACTGACCTCTTCCAGGTACCCGTACGAAAGGATCGACGGCCGAGTGAGGGGCAACCTGCGCCAGGCAGCTATTGACAGATTCTCCAAACCTGACTCGGATCGGTTTGTTTTCCTCCTGTGCACTCGGGCAGGCGGTTTAGGCATTAATCTTACTGCTGCTGATACCTGCATCATCTTTGATTCTGACTGGAATCCCCAAAATGACCTCCAGGTAAACATGCAAGAGAATCTTCCCGATGCCTTTTTTTTTTTTTAAGCCATTCTGCTGTGACGGAGAATCCCCGTCAAACCAATAAATTAAAGTCATGTAGTCACTCAGGCGGTATCCCATGATGGGGGCAAATGAACCAACTAGTAATCAATTTATTAATAATGTAAAAGCAGTTTCTTTGTGTGTTAACCCTCTTCGAAGCCGCACCTCTGTTCATTGGAACAGCAGATGCTCTCATAACTGACGACGGAGCCTTTCTTTCTTGGTAGCCATCAGTTCCCCTTTTCTTCTAGGCCCAGGCAAGGTGTCACAGGATAGGACAGAGCAAATCTGTGAAAATCTACAGGCTGATCACACGAAATTCTTATGAAAGGGAGATGTTCGACAAGGCGAGTCTGAAGCTCGGTCTGGATAAAGCTGTGCTGCAGTCCATGAGCGGAAGGGAAAACGCCACCAATGGGGTAAAGCCTCCCGCGCCCACCCGGCCCCTTCCCTTACTCCGGCTCCCGGCTGGATGTGGCTCATAGTGAGAAATGCTCCAGCATCAGCTTGTTTTCCAAGCTCAGTATTTCTTTTAAGCACTATTTCCACCTCGCATTCCTTGTTGGAAGTTAGGTTTATCCTCCTCTTTGAGAAAAAAAAAATCGTTTAGTCTAAAAACATTTCAACTCTATATTATTTTAAATATCTCTCTAAAACAGGTGCAACAGCTTTCCAAGAAGGAAATAGAGGATCTTCTGCGAAAGGGGGCCTACGGTGCGCTCATGGATGAGGAGGACGAAGGGTCTAAATTCTGCGAAGAAGATATCGACCAGATTCTCCTGCGGCGAACCCACACCATCACCATCGAGTCTGAAGGGAAGGGCTCCACCTTTGCTAAGGTGCGAATCGATCGGAGGAGGCAGGCTTTCTACAGACGTTTAATAGAGTCCGCACGCAGCACTCTGTGAAGCGCTCCGGAGTTGCACACGGAACGTTTGCCTTCTTATCCCGAGTCAAGAAATTAATTAACTCCCTGTGGAGCTCCTGATGCATAAAAGCTCCTTTGTTTGTGTTTTGGGTCCTGTTCTATCATACGGCACCGGTGGTCGCTCTCACCTTGGCCTCAAAGCTGCTTTCCGGCTCCCAGGCTAGACCTTTACCTGTGGCCTTGACCCCAGCCTCTCCACTTCTTGAGATCTGATTGCTGACGTAGCCTCTGCAACAACCCAATCACTCCCATCTGCCTTCCCCTCCAGCTTCAGTGCCATAACTCTGCTTTCAGAGCTGGACTCCACACAAGCATCAGTCGTACCAGTTGTCTCGCTGCCTCCCTTTCTACTTCTTTTTCAACCTCCAGCTGCACCCTCCCCCCACCTCCTCATCAGACCAGCTCCGGCAAAGGTCACCACTCAGAGCCACTCCAGCAAGCGCCCCTCTGAGGCTTCCCCTGCATATTGACCTACCTGCCCTTCCACACCCAGGCCCCACATACACTTACTGTCAATAGCTTTATTGAAGTGCAACTTGCTGGCCATAAAATTCACCTTGGCCTTATTTACAGACTCGTGTAACTATCACCATCACCCCAGGAAGATCCTGATGCCCATTAACAGTCTTGTCAAGCGTGCATGTGTGTGTGTGTGTGTGTGTGTGTGTGTGTGTGTGTCCCCGTCCTGCCAAATCCTTGGCAACCACTAATCTACTTTCTGTCTCTATAGATTTGCCTGCTCTGGACATTTCAGATACATGGAATCATGCAACCTGTATTTTGTGTCTGGCTTTACTCACTCAGCACAATGTTTTGAGGGTCATCCGTGCTGTAGCCCAGATCAGTACTTGCTTCTCATTGCTGAGCCGTCTGTGCCTCATTTACCAGTGGATGATGGACATTGGGGTTGTTTATTTATTCACTAGTTGATAGTGAAATTTTTGGTCGTTATGAATAATGTTGTTACGAACATTTGCATACAAGTTTCTGTGTGGACATATGTTTTTGTTTCTCTTTCGTGTATACCAGGAATGGACTTGCTGGGTCATGTGTTAGCTCCATGTTTAACCCTTGAGGAACCTACCAGACAGTTTTCCTAAGTGAATGTACTGGTACCTTTGCTTTCCGACTGGCAGTGTTTTTAGGATTCTAGTTTCTCCACAGCCTCAGCAACACTTTATATTGTCTGGCGCTTTGATTACAGTTGTGTGCGTGAGTGGGATGTGAGAGCCTCATGGGTTAGAGCCGCATTTCTCTGATGCCTGGAGCATCCTTTGCTTGTGGCCCTGTGTATCATCTTTGGAAAAATGTTCTAGTTCTTTGCTCACCTTTTGAGTTATTTGTCTTTTTATTCTTGAAGCTTAAGAATTCTTTATATATTCTGGATAAAAGTTCCTCGTCAGATAATACAATTTGAAAATATTTTCTTTTGGTCTTTTCTTAATGGTGTTTAATTTTAAACACCCTTTTTTTCTTTTATTGTATTGTTTGTGCTTTTGCTGCATTGTCTAAACTGAAGTTAACAAAGATTTGTCATCTTCTCAGAGTTTTATGGTTTTCACGCTTACATCCAGATCTGTAACCATTTGAGTGAGTGTTCGTGTGTGGTGATGTTGTAAGACCGGGTCCACCTCCTTCCTTTCTTATCCGTGTGGCCATCCAGTCATCCGGCTCCTCCTTCTCTGGGCTCTGTGGTCCAACACCTCCTCCCTCATGTCTCTGCCTACACATACACACCTGTTCGTTCACCTGATAACACCGTTCAGATGCCAAAGTTGGATGCTGCCGTTTTTCCTGGCTTCCTCCTTCTCCTTCATGCTTCACATTTAGCTAGGATCTCACTCCTTCCAATTTACCTCTTAAAGAATCTTTGTCTGTTTCTGTTAGAACTGTCTTCAGTCTTCATTATTTCCTCCCTAAACGACATTCTACCCCATTCTACCCTCCACACTCCGACAGCGGTGCCTTTGCCTGTGGTGCTGTCCGTGGTGATGTCCCCAAGCAGAGCTGCTGTTTCCTCAGGATAGAGTTGGGACTCTGTTTACAGGACACGCAAGGCCTGCCTTACTAGCCTGCTGTTTGGCTTACTCTTCTTTTAAAAAATATGTTGTTACTAATTTCAGAAGGAAAGGTGAGGGAGAGAGATAGCAATATCCATGATGAGAGAGGATCATTGATCGGCTGCCTCCTACACACCCCCTACTGGGGATCGAGCCTGCAATCTGGGCATATGCCCTGACCGGGAATCGAATTGCAACCTCCTGGTTCATAGGTCAATGTTCAGCCACGAGCCACGCCAGTGGGGCTGGCTTACTCTTCTTGATTCCCCTCACCCCGGCCACAGGACACGGTACCTCTCTGCTCCTCTGTGCTTTGAGCTTTCAACAGTCTGGTGCAGGCATTATTTTCTAGAGAGCCTGTTCTCCCTTCCCAGCAATGCCCTCCCTGTACCTTCGCCCCCACCTGAACCTGGTTAGGGCCTTTCTGTGTGCATCAGTCACATCTGTACATACCTTTGTTACCTATGGTTTAGTGTGCTGCATGGTCACCTTTTCTTTCCTGATCTGCCTCACCCCTGGCCCATGAGCTACCCGAGGGGTGGTCTTCGTCCCGGTGCCATCGACGGCGGCATCTGGCACACAGTGGAGGAAGGCAGGCATGTTTGAGTGAATGGATAAGCAGGAGCTACTTGCTTTTTATCTCTAAGAAAAGCATCTCAAAGTAACGCATATTTTCCCCCCTTTTAGGCCAGTTTTGTTGCATCTGGAAATAGGACAGATATCTCCCTGGATGACCCAAATTTCTGGCAAAAGTGGGCTAAGAAGGCCGAGTTGGATATCGATGCCTTAAATGGGAGGGTGAGTGAGAAGTTCCATTCACTCCCTATCTGATCTAACCCCAGGCCGCTCTGATAGAAGTTTCAAGTGTGTCTGCCGTCTGTTTTAGAACAACCTGGTCATCGACACCCCGAGGGTGAGGAAGCAGACCAGGCTGTACAGTGCGGTGAAGGAGGACGAGCTGATGGAGTTCTCGGACCTGGAGAGCGACTCCGAGGAGAAGCCCTGCGCGAAGCCCCGGCGGCCGCAGGACCGGTCCCAGGGCTACGCCCGGAGCGAGTGCTTCCGGGTGGAGAAGAACCTGCTCGTCTATGGGTAGGTCGGGCCTGTGGGAAACGGACTTTTACTTTAAAAATAGTTAGAATTCCAGTGGGCATAGGAAAGCCATATCTGCGTTTGGATTTCTGTGGCTCCCGTAGTCAGGTGAACTCCGCAGCGACTGCCAGGGCCCAGGGCGTTTGGTTAACGTGCTCAACGCT